GCCACCTCATCAGGAGCATGCCCAGGCGTTGTAGGGAGGTCATACGGGCACGTGGAGGCCACACACACTACTGAACCTCATTTTGACTTGTTTTGAGGACATTACATCAAAGTTGGATCAGCCTGTAGTGTTGTTTTCCACTTTAATTTTGGGTGTCACTCCAGATCCAGACCTCCATGGGTTGCTAAATTTGATTTCCATTGATAATTTCTGTGTGATTTTGTTGTCAGCACATTCAACTATGTAATGAACAAGGTATTTAATAAGAATATTTCATTTATTTAGATCTAGGATGTCTTATTTTTGTGTTCCCTTTATTTTTTTGAGCAGTGTATATACATACTGTATATTGCAGTTGCAGCAGGTATTACGGCTTTACTAATAAGGAGCAACACCTAATACTGTATTCTCTCTAGAATTACATTTTAACTGTGGCAGGGGTGGCACAATAAGTATAATTTTGAGCGGAGCCAGGGGGTGGCCAGGGGTCAGAATCTGATTGGACACCCCCTGGCTCCGCTCATGATTATACTTACTGTAAATACCACAGTTAACAACATATACCAACTTGGACTCTATTAATTCAATTTTGCATGGCAGCATAACAACTGAAAAGTAAAAATTCACCTGTACAAGCTGCAGAAGGTATCTGAGCACATCATCGTCTTCCAGAGTCTCCAGCTTCCTGACAGCCATTGAGCGAACCTGAGTGTCCGAGTAGTGACAGTCCAGCAGCTGCATTGCCAGACCAACATCAAGACCACTGAATATGAACAATATGATAACAGTTGATGGGATACTGAACATGCAGAGGATAGAAGTATATAGTAACAGTGTGAAAACCCTTTACCTGCTGTCCCATGCACTGCTGCGCTCCAACAAACGGTGTGTTGCCAAAACATCTTCCTGTTTTCCCCATTTGACTGACCCTAGGAGCTTTGGGTAGGCCCTAATGACAGGAGAGGATTGGTGCCAAATATTAGATACCCAAAATTAAGAGAAGAAAGCAATAATTATTGTGGTATAACATTTATAGTCAATTTTCTTTTCTTTCTGAAATAAAATGACATAAGTACCTGGGGTTACGCATACACTCATGTCTGAAATGCCAGAGCAGCTCTTTGTCCTCAGGGCTGAGTGGATGCAGGGGGTCAGTAGCCACAATAGCCTCAAACTGTTTTTTCAGGTGGTTTGGCATCTCTCTCTGACCTCGCTCCCCTCCTTCAGATTCCTCACCACTAGCTCTGACGTCCCGACCTACATCCCGGCTCTTGGGCAGCACCACAGGATAGCAGTACTTATCCAGTAAAATGGCAATGGCCATGGAAGATGCTTTGTCTGGGTTGGTGGCTGAGGTGAGCTTGTCTGCATTGATGCTGCTGCTGCTCTCCTCGCTCTTCTCGGGCATTTTCCACATGTGGAGGATGAACTCCCCCTGGCGGAGCAGTGAGCGATGGTCAATCAAGAGGAGGTTGACATAGTACAAGAGGCGACTCTTGGTTTTTCCTAAAAGATGTATGAACAGACAGAAATAAGCCTCATTCTAAATATTGTTAACAAGATAGGCAACTACAAGTGAGAAGACTTTACCATCATGGCTGCATCCTCCTGCTGTATTGTCTTGGTAGGAGCTTCCCTTGGAGTTTGGTATCTGAGGTTGCTTCCCGCATACCACCTGGGAGGGAAAAAGTGGGCAGACCAGAACCACTATACAGTATAATAAAGTAATGGAAGTAATATAATAGAAGTTATGTAAAAGGCCATCAATCTCCCTGACATCACTGCATGTGGGAACTCTTATCCATCCATCAAAAATATATTTATTACAATATTTCACACAACCTTTCAATTAATGTTTGAATTTACCTGGAGGTTGAGGCGTGCCCCCTTAGGCAGGTCCTTAATTTTAATGTTAAACTCCAACCAGCAGTTCCACAGTACTTCTTCACTGAAGGTTTTAGAGGTTGTTCTCTCCTAAAAGAACAGATTCAAGGTTAGACTCTGCTGTCAACTAAACATTGCTCTGTATGTGTTTTTAAAAGAAAAGTGTTGAATTTAAAACCAACAGACAACTGAGATAGTTGTTGTTCTCAGATATCTGTTGTTGTTATAATACATAAACTTTTTATGAATTCAAACCCTGCCTTTGATACCATTTGTTATGCGTCAGCAAATGTCATTTTGTTAATAAAACAAAACAGTGTGTTTGCAATAAGTTTCATATTCACCTTTACGCATTATTCTGAAATTTCTTTTTCTATACAGTACAGCTGTTGTCATTGTTAGAGGCAGACTCTTGCGGTATTCACATTTTTTTCATATACAAAGGAAACAGGAAATGATACAGAATCTAATTCAGTGTTAGTGTTTTTAATTTGATCTCACAAATATCAGCATCACTGATCTCCAGCAGATAAGAACTGAATTAAGCTACTGCTAATACAAACTGAAGAATTCCTAAGGCAACTAGTTTACACCAGAAGCATTCAATTGTTATGTACTAGGTAATAATAAATAATAATAATAATAATAATGTCTTTAGATTAAAAGATTTAAATGGGCAACGGGAGCAGCAAGAGTGTTGCGGTTTGTTTCTTTTTGTGTTCTTCTAAAGAAATAGATTAAACATCAAGTTTAACAATTTTCATTGTCCTAAAATCAATATAAATCACAGTCACCATTCTTAAATTTTCTCTTGCTTGAAAGTTTTGTCAATATATGTGTATGTTGCCACTACCTGGGCTAAAAGCTGCTGGCCATGGAAGATGCTGGCCTCTATGAAGACAATAAACTCTGGGATTTTGGGCAGGGATGGAATGTCGATACCCAGCACCTTCACTCTGAACTTCCTGTTACAGTCCCACATAGAGATGGTGAACACTCGTTCATGGTCATTCTCATCGATGGTCAATTGCTCATGGGTACCTGGCATAGACAGTTAGAAAATAGATACAACTGATACATCACACATACAGTATAACACAGTATATTTGCCCGGTTCAAGTTTTTACCTGCAACTCCAGTGCAGTCATCCACTTGGGCCCAGTCCTCCTTCTGTACCAGATCCAAATCAGGATCAGGTGGTGTCTCCAGAACCAGGTGAATCTCTAGGTCATTCTTCAGACACTGACGGATCCAATTAAAGTTCTGCAGTGCTTTATCCCCATACAGGTACTCCTCCCTGTGTAAAAGGACATTGAAAATAACAATAATTAACAGTTTTGAACTACAATTAATTACATAAATCAATTACTCTTTGACTTTCAATGCAAACTTGATTATGCTGGCTAAATGTATAAGAAGGTCAGGAGTGACTGTGGGTTAGTTTTAGCATCTGACATACCTTCCACAGACACGTAGCACATAGTCTGCCTCACACATGTTGTCAGGAAATTGATGCTGCTGCTGCTCTCCTCGCTCTTCTCGGGCATTTTCCACATGTGGAGGATGAACTCCCCCTGGCGGAGCAGTGAGCGATGGTCAATCAAGAGGAGGTTGACATAGTACAAGAGGCGACTCTTGGTTTTCCCTAAAAGATGTATGAACAGACAGAAATAAGCCTCATTCTAAATATTGTTAACAAGATAGGCAACTACAAGTGAGAAGACTTTACCATCATGGCTGCATCCTCCTGCTGTATTGTCTTGGTAGGAGCTTCCCTTGGAGTTTGGTATCTGAGGTTGCTTCCCGCATACCACCTGGGAGGGAAAAAGTGGGCAGACCAGAACCACTATACAGTATAATAAAGTAATGGAAGTAATATAATAGAAGTTATGTAAAAGGCCATCAATCTCCCTGACATCACTGCATGTGGGAACTCTTATCCATCCATCAAAAATATATTTATTACAATATTTCACACAACCTTTCAATTAATGTTTGAATTTACCTGGAGGTTGAGGCGTGCCCCCTTAGGCAGGTCCTTAATTTTAATGTTAAACTCCAACCAGCAGTTCCACAGTACTTCTTCACTGAAGGTTTTAGAGGTTGTTCTCTCCTAAAAGAACAGATTCAAGGTTAGACTCTGCTGTCAACTAAACATTGCTCTGTATGTGTTTTTAAAAGAAAAGTGTTGAATTTAAAACCAACAGACAACTGAGATAGTTGTTGTTCTCAGATATCTGTTGTTGTTATAATACATAAACTTTTTATGAATTCAAACCCTGCCTTTGATACCATTTGTTATGCGTCAGCAAATGTCATTTTGTTAATAAAACAAAACAGTGTGTTTGCAATAAGTTTCATATTCACCTTTACGTATTATTCTGAAATTTCTTTTTCTATACAGTACAGCTGTTGTCATTGTTAGAGGCAGACTCTTGCGGTATTCACATTTTTTTCATATACAAAGGAAACAGGAAATGATACAGAATCTAATTCAGTGTTAGTGTTTTTAATTTGATCTCACAAATATCAGCATCACTGATCTCCAGCAGATAAGAACTGAATTAAGCTACTGCTAATACAAACTGAAGAATTCCTAAGGCAACTAGTTTACACCAGAAGCATTCAATTGTTATGTACTAGGTAATAATAAATAATAATAATAATAATAATGTCTTTAGATTAAAAGATTTAAATGGGCAACGGGAGCAGCAAGAGTGTTGCGGTTTGTTTCTTTTTGTGTTCTTCTAAAGAAATAGATTAAACATCAAGTTTAACAATTTTCATTGTCCTAAAATCAATATAAATCACAGTCACCATTCTTAAATTTTCTCTTGCTTGAAAGTTTTGTCAATATATGTGTATGTTGCCACTACCTGGGCTAAAAGCTGCTGGCCATGGAAGATGCTGGCCTCTATGAAGACAATAAACTCTGGGATTTTGGGCAGGGATGGAATGTCGATACCCAGCACCTTCACTCTGAACTTCCTGTTACAGTCCCACATAGAGATGGTGAACACTCGTTCATGGTCATTCTCATCGATGGTCAATTGCTCATGGGTACCTGGCATAGACAGTTAGAAAATAGATACAACTGATCCATCACACATACAGTATAACACAGTATATTTGCCCGGTTCAAGTTTTTACCTGCAACTCCAGTGCAGTCATCCACTTGGGCCCAGTCCTCCTTCTGTACCAGATCCAAATCAGGATCAGGTGGTGTCTCCAGAACCAGGTGAATCTCTAGGTCATTCTTCAGACACTGACGGATCCAATTAAAGTTCTGCAGTGCTTTATCCCCATACAGGTACTCCTCCCTGTGTAAAAGGACATTGAAAATAACAATAATTAACAGTTTTGAACTACAATTAATTACATAAATCAATTACTCTTTGACTTTCAATGCAAACTTGATTATGCTGGCTAAATGTATAAGAAGGTCAGGAGTGACTGTGGGTTAGTTTTAGCATCTGACATACCTTCCACAGACACGTAGCACATAGTCTGCCTTGCCAAGCAAAGCTCTTTTATTTGCTGTCTTGGTGAAAAAGCTAGTCAATACCTAAACAAGATGGAAAGTAGTCAGACAACAGTAGAGGAAATGGTACACAAGCACAGAGAAAGTGGTAACCATGTAAGTGCCATTCATCAATACATTTGTCTACCTGTGCTGGTGTGTCATCGATGGAGACCTTGATTGTCTGACTGGCTGTGCTGATGTGGATCACCACCAGGATGTGACCATTACTTACCTGAGTAGCAATAAAGCAACAGAAGGAAGTGAAAGCAATGAATGAAACATCTGAATAAAATAAAATAAAATACTGAGTTACTGAATTCATGGGTATGGTGACCAAATCAATTGTTTGTTGATATTTAATAAATCATAAATGAACAAGGAAATCCCAGTCTAAATGTACCAAGAATCGGTCAGATAGTAAATCAGTTTCATTTCTCAACTTATCAGTTAATCAATCAATGATCTGCACAGAGGAAGTCACAAGCACTAATGAAAACATGAAAAATATGTCAGCTTGTTCAGTTTGTACAGTCTACTGGTCTTCGGTTGAAAGAAATCCATGTTGAATTTCACTGGAATGACTTGGTGTGTCTGAAATAGATTATGTTTCATGTGCCTGTGGAGATTCTCATTCATCTGGGTCATGGAACAAATCCCAAAAGTAGTCAGCTGGACTTGCCTGAGGTTCCTTAAGACAATGACAACTTTTAGCACTTCAAATGTCATACTTTTTCTTTTGCTCAGTAAGATGTTACTGGAGTTTTGTAATAATTTCAGACAATATGGCAAATCCATGATATATAGAGGGCAACAGCAATGAAAAAAAAATGCATACCTTGCTAAGCAAATGCTCAGGCAGAGGTTTGCGGGTCACCCAGGGATCCATGGAGTAAAGTTTTGGGTCACGGTCTGACAGCTCAATGCGCCGCGGCGTCAGCAGTTTCCTGCGAGTGAACTCCAGCTCATCATCATGCACATTGCTGACATCAGTCACATCATAGCCAATCAGGTAATTTAAGTAACGCTGGTACTGCAAGGACTCGTCTGAGGGCTGGGAACGGGGAACCAGCTGGATCCTTCCCATATCTTTCTTCAGGGCTTTAAAACACAACAGATGCATTTTACATCATCACAAGTGAGTAATCTGCTCCCAAAAACATTAGCAAGTAACAGGTTCAGTACCTCTCCAGTAGTGAATGCAGTCAAGTGTCTGGAAGACCTGGTGCTTGTCATAGATCTCACATACATTGCCTTTCTTCTGGTAGAGCAGGATGCAGTGGTCAGGAGAAAATCGCTGGTAGAAGTCAGGACAGAGGTTTAAAGTCACCGCTTTCAGCCACACCTGAGCTTTCACCTGAGAGACAACAGGCATGCAAAAGAATTTACATATGTTTAAAACTTCTGTGAGTACCACTTTAACATCCATAAAAATCATCACCACATGTTACACATCAGTGTATTTAAGAAATCAGTAAATTAGGCAACCTGTTCCACAGTCCAGTTTCCAGCCACCTCCAGTTGTAGAGTGTCAGGGCTGTTTCCACCCCACGTCGCAGTGGGCAGGACGAACTCAACAGTGATCTGATCCATGGAGGTGCTGGAGGATGAGGTGATGGCCTTCTTTCTTCTTCTCCTTCGGATCTGTTCACACAGGACTTCAGGCTCTTCGTCACTTATCTGGATCTGCTGCCTGTCCATTGCCTAGCTTGATAGGGGAGCGAGAAAAACAGAGATTGTCTATACATCTGATCTACTTTTACAAGGCCCATTAAGTAAGGATGAGCTAAGAAGATGATCCAGAAATGCAAATAATGCACCAAAAAAATACAATATTGTTGACAGAGAAATGTATATTTGTCCTTTTTTGGACTTTTTTATACTGATCTACTGACGTAGGGAACTAAGATGGGACATAAATAAAAGTAGTGACTGTTAAACAGCTGAAAAAGTGATGAGAGAGGATATTTACTGCTTCTGCTTCTTCCAAATGAATAAAATACAGCGAAGCTGTAACTATTTTGATTGTCAATTAACCTTTTAATCATCTTATGTATAAAATGTCAGGAAAACATAAAAAAAAAAAAAAACAATTTGTCATTTGTCCCTGAGGTCAAGGTATGGTTTTGTTTTGTCCAATACCCAAACATTTAATATAAAACAACAAAAAGCAGCAAATCCTCCCATGCTGATCAACTGAAGCCAAAGTATACACATTTTTATTAAAAATGACTCAAACAGTTAATCAATTATCAGAATAGCTGCTGATTAATTTTCTACAAGCTGACAAGTTGAGTCATTGATTGTTTGCTTCAGTTATCTGTAGCCAGATGAAGCCCCATTTTGATACTCTGACTGCACTCTTCTGGACAGAGACCTCAGATGTTGTTCCACTTGTGCCTTCGGCCACGGATAAGCGGAAGAAAATGGATGGATGGATGGATGGAGGTCACTGTGTGTGTGTGTGTGTAGAAAAAGAGAGATGCATTTGCATTCAGGCCCAATGGGAAATAGCATTTGGATTTTTTCTTTAAAGTAGAATTTGTGGGCAGTGATGAACACATTCAATAAATAATGTGCAAATTTAGCTAAAATATGATCGTCAGCCTCCAATATAGATGCTTTCCAAACTATATGGGAATAAATAATTTTAAATCTGTTATTTAACTTTTAACAACATAGAAGCACTACATAAGCCACTAGTCATTAATAATAACACTGATAGCCATTTTAAAGTAATCTTTAAAAGCACTCATGATGTTAACTGGCTAAAAATGTTCAGAGGTTATAGAATTTGTAACCTGGACTATACTTTCTTCTTCTTTCACATCCGCAGAGGAGGTTTTGTAAGGCAGGAAATAAACTCGACAAGGCATTATTGTAACTAAAACTATACAAACTATCTGTGTTGTTTTGACGAACATGTCATAAATATTATTAGGCCTGTATCTACTATTGAAATGGTCAACGCTGCGAGGACTAAAGAAACATTTAAAGCAGCGGAACTGGTTTGGTCTGTGGTAAATGTAACGGTGCTGCTGCCGTGATCATCGGAAGACGTGTTAGTTTTTGTAAAACAAAAACACAAAACCTTTTTCATGACTCACCAATGAACGCAGACGCAGAAGGCTACGGAACCCGGAGCATTAGGCAAAAGTTTCGGCATTTACGCTACATGAAGAGAACACACTCCAGACTAAAATGTTCTTACGTTTGTGAGCAAACCCTGTATTAAGGAAATGCTACGTTTGTACTCAGGAAGGTTGTCAAGTTCACCGGCTAACTTTTTCCATCGGAACAAGAACATTTCCGACATCTTTTCACAATAAATGCCATACCAACGCACTAAACCTGGTCGAAACCTGAACTCATATTCCACATATTATAATATGTAGCAGAGGACTGAAACCGCTGAAAGATATTAAAAGATTAATATGCCCTCCTTAATGAGAGAAGGAAAAACATAAAGGAGGAAAAGGTAAGAACCTTTTTGTTTCAGCCGTGTTAGCTGCCCTCCAGAGGTCACAGCGAGGACTTGCAATACTACAGAAATTAAAGCTGGGATCTGTGACTTTTATAAAAATCACTTTTTGTTATATTTGAGTAAAAATTATGCCCTGGCAGTAATATATAAAACAGATATTCTGTGAAAATATTAGGTTTCACGGGCTCCTCCTTGTGTCTGTATAGCCATTTGCAAATCCACCATGCTTGAATGTGAACTACCTATCAGGAGGTGGTGCAACCCACTGTCAGTCACCTCATGCTCAGGCAGCACTGTACCTCTCTACCCCATCCCACCAAGTCCACTTGCTTCAAAAGAAGACTGACTGATAAAACACAGTGGAAACATTGGAAGAATTTTGTATGTGTCTTATGCCTGTCTCATGCAGCAGAATTCTATTATATCAGATGAGTTAATCCACAATTAAACCATGAGACGCGTATCTCCTGTAAACCCCCCTGTTTTTTATGTCTTGTCTACTTTTTCCCCTCTCCTACATTTAGTGAAGGGTAATCTTCACTTTCAGAGGTTTAAATCACACAGATCCTGTTGTTTTCTGTTTCTAATGGTATCTGTTACGACTTATTTAAAAAAAATCAATAAAATATACAGTAAATCCATATGCTACATTAAAAATGGCACACACTAAAGCCTGGGCCACCATGATCCAGCACAACATGTGGCTGCACATGTCACAGATGCCGGAGCAGATCTGAAAGAGTCTGCTGGAGGGCCCCATCAGCCCCGACAGACTCTTTGGCCCGCACCTCCAGGAGATCGTCACCTACCTGCAGCAGGCATCTGATGAAGCAGAACGAGTGAGACAACTCGCGTCACGGGGACGGCTGCACCCTCAGCACCCTCAGTATGACTGGCACAGCCACAGAGGCACCCTCACAGAGTGAGGCGCACAGTAGCCACCGGTGCTTCAGTAGCCACTGGTGCTTCTGCTGTAATGCAGCACACTCCACCACCGAGCACTGCACCTCCTCCTCCCCCTCCTCCCGCCACGACCTTCAGACAGGCTGCCCCAAAGCGCTCCCGAACCATGAGGCGGGCAGCCTCCACGTGGACGATCCTCCCCACTGAACCCCCTGAAAGCAATGGCGACAGTGACAGGAGATGGGGGGCATGTGTGGATCACCAGAGACAACCAGACCCAATGGCCCTTTTTAGGGCCACCCACAAGTCTGTAAAGAGCAGTTTCCTAACAGTCCTTTTTCCTTTTTTTCTGAATCTGAATATGTTTACACACATTTCCTCACTATACAGTTCTCCCTTCGCACAAGCTGTGCCAAGAGACACACTGAACACTGTTCGTCCTCTCCCTGTAGGCCAGTCTAACACATTCTCCAGACCCACACCGGCGGGCTCAGCGGCGCTGCTGTTGTCCCTCTGCAGTCTCCCCACCTCCCACCCATTGGTGCATGTGAGTGGCAGCTTTTCTCCTGCACGTGACGCGGACAGCAAAGCTCTGCTCGGAGCACTCGCCTCTCCACGGCCCTTTTGCCACCACCCTCCCATGGGTTGTGAGGAGCGAACACTCGGCTCTCACAACAGCGGGGAGGGCATATCAGAGGCTGGCGACAATGTGCACAGATGCCCCACAAACAAGTTCACTTTCAGAGTGCTACCCCATGTGGCGGGAGTGGCTGTCCATGAACAGCTGGATGGACAAGCTCATAGAAACTGATCACACTCTGCAATTATCCAGACATCCTCCTGCTTTCAGTGGAGTGCTGGAGAAGGTTATGGTGTTGCCAGCAGGCTCCACCACACTGATGGCGGAGTTGCAAGAGCTACTGACAAAAAAACATATCTCTGTGGTTCTGCCCAGTCAGGAGTAAGAGGGTTTCTACTCACGCTACTTCCTGGTCCCCAGAAGAAGTCGGGCAGAATGAGGCCCATCCTGGACTTGTCCCTCTTCAGCACATACATAGTGAAAAGGCCGTTTCACATGCTCACCATAAATCAGGTGCTGGAGTGTGTACTTCCAGGCGACTCGTTTACATCCATCGACCTAAAGGATGTGTATTTTCATGTGCCCATCTTCCCCAAACATAGGAAATTCCTGCACTTCTCTTTCCAAGGTGTGTGGTTCCAATGCAACCAGTTGCCCTCCAGTTATTCTCTGGCCCCCCGCACATTCTGCAAGTGCATAGAGATGGCACTAGAACAGTTGTGCAGGAAGAGAGCAAGAGTCTTTTTTTATCTGGACAATCTGATTCTGATGGCACCTTCAAGATAGCAGGCTGCATCTCACACATTGGAGCTGGTCCAACACCTGACCCAGCTGGGTTTTGCAGTGAACTGGAAAAAGAGTTCACCATTGCGTGTCAGACAATAATTTATCTGGGGGTGCAGCTGGACTCCCTCAGCATGAGGGCAAAACTGTCATCTGTCAGGCAGTAGGCACCTCTGTCCCTCCTGCAGCGCATCATTCCCTGCACAAAGGGGATGGCCCTGTCTGTGATGCGTTTATTGGGTACCATGTCAGACAGTCATGTAGTGGTCCCTCTCTGTCTCCTTCACATGAGGAAGCTCCAGAGGTGGTTTGGCCGCGTTTGCCTCGACCCCGTGCAGCACAAGAGGTGTATGTTAATGGTTCCCCCCCCCCTCAGTCCAGTCAGAACTGACGTACTGGAAAACCCCTGGTGTCATGGTAATGGGGTTCGCCTCAGTAGAGTCACATCACACATATTGGTGTTCACAGATGCGTCTCTGCTCAGGTGGGGAGGCATGTGCCTGTCACAGGTTGTGGGGGAGGGAAGTGGCGTCAGATCCCATCTCTCCACATCAACTGCCTGGAGCTAGCCACGGTGCAGAAGGTGTTTGTTCTGCCCGGTTGCTGGACATAGCATGGAGTCTCCTACTCTGGGCCCATCAGAACCTGTGCTCTATCGGAGCTGTGCATGTTCCGGACGAGCAGAACTGCGCTGTGTCAACAACGGTGTCTTATGTGATGAACTGGTCTAATTTTTAGCGGTGGTGTGTGGAGAGAGGCACAGCCCCCATGTCATGCCCATTGGCACAAGTGTTGATTTTCTTACAGACCCTGGTAGACAGAAATCTGGCTCTGTCTACTGTGAAATGCTGCAGCCATTTCGCCCTGCCATGAGGGTTTTGGTGAGAGATCTGTGTTCGCGCACCCACTGGTGAAACACTTCCTGAGAGGAGTGGGCAGATGGTGTGGTACCTT